GCGCACTGAATATTCTTTCAATCTTTAATCACATTAATTGATACTAAAGTGTCGTAGAGATTTAATTAACGAGAAACGTTAGATTGATGAAGGTTAGATCAATGAAGCGAGAGAATTCAATTTTCTCAAGTTGTTGTAACGAGACAGATGAACGACGTTACGTTTTAAGTTGCAATTAGATATTTCGTCGCGATTGTCTTCGGCCCCGAAGAGCCGCGGCGTTGCATTCCTGTAGAACTATGTAGAACGTACATAATTTATAAGTACATCGCTGAATCAGCTGAATGGCGGGAAACGCAACATGCTCCCATCGCGTGCTTGTAACGTAAGAACGCGCATTGTACAATTGAATGTATTAATTATTTTTTTTATTAGTTAAAAGCTATCTGATTGTTTCTCGATGTCAGAAATAGATTTTTCCTTCACATACTGAGTAGAACTTCTTACAAGGAACACAAAAGAGACTATATGAAAATAGCGAACGTTTGTGCATCGCAGATGTGTAACAGAATATAACAGAATTTCTCTATTCTGGAAGAAAACACTTATTTAATCTTCCTGTAAAATAAAATATTCCTCTTGTTCTACTTCTGCTTCGCAGTTATAGATATATTTATCACATGACATGATTGTATGATAATATTTAGAAAAAAATAGAGAAAGAAAGAGAGGAAGAGAGAGCGTGCAATGACGAAATTTAATTTGTGTGTGTGTGTGTGTGTGTGTGTGTGTGTGTGTGTGTGTGTGTGTGTGTGTGTGAGAGAGAGAGAGAGAGAGAGAGAGAGAGAGAGAGAGAGGAGAGAGCATACATAATTTCTACTTCCATCAGGAAGGATTCCTGAATAACAAAATAACTCGACGATTTCAGATAAGAGAGGTTCTATCATAGTCTCGTCATAATCTAATATCTAATCACAAGATAACCGGTGGTCCGCTGACAGTCTAATGTACATTACGGAAATCTATGGCTGGTACCGGGTACGGTGGCGAATTGTTTAGTAGCCGCGAAGAAATATAGTGGAAGGAGCGTGGGCCGTTTTAATGTTATTAAAGCACCGCGCGTGTACATACATATATACATACATACATACATATATACATACGTGTGCCGTGCCAGTATAGACCTGATAATGGTAGTTACGCACATATATCGGGTAATCCACGCATGCATATGTGTGACTAACCGCTCTCGCGCGCGGGTCAATGCCTCGACTGTTTCCGAGTAGTAGGTACGCAACTTACGTCGCGTACCTTTTCCTTTGCGTTATATCCAAGCATGCGTTTCAAGTGTACCCTCACATGCACTTACGCACGAACGTACGTACGTATGCACGTGAGAGATATCTACGCGCGACATTCGTAATACGATCGACAAGAGTGATATACCATACGTGCGGTGACGGATGCGTCACCAAAATCCGAACAAATTTCAATTTTCCGCTATATTGTGCCTTCGCCAGAGATTGTTGTTGGCGTCCGAGAAAGTCTGATGCTTCTAGTAAACAGTCATATTCTCAAAATGGCCGCGATGTTGAAACCAAGTGCGGAGTATAATCGAAGAACCATGATCATCGAAGGCCTTCGTGCTAGGCATTCAGCAACAGAAATAATTCGGTTTTTTGGATACCGAGACCATCAACCATTTATGACATTGTGGCAAAATATAAGAATAGTTCAACGAAGGTTCCAATATGCCAGGAAAAGTCATTCGAAAGAACGCACCGCGAGGACCCTCGCAGTCGTTAAAAGGGCTCAATTACTGATTTCGGATGACCCAGAGCAATCGAAAATTAGCATCGATTGTTGGTGTAAGCGAGCCAACAATGCGTCGAATTGCCGAGGAGAACCTTCGATACAAATCGTACACATTAAAGATACGACAGCTCTCTGAGGCTGCCAGGACAAGCCGAGTTGCTCGCCTCGGCTCCCCATTCTGCCCTTTCCAACAGCCTAGATTTAAATCCCTTGGACTATTACGTATGGAGCATAGTTGAAAGAGTCACAGACAAGTCTCGCCCCCAATCCCAATATGACGTCATTAAGGACCGCTATTAAGATAACATTCATCGACATGGATAGCTACATTACAGCGTGCGAACCTTCAGACCGAGAATAGAGGTCGTCGTTCGAGCTAATGGGAGATATATTGAATAATTGTGCTCTACAAGGATCCTCTCCCAAGTGCCATGTAAAAGGATTTTTTGTAATATTTAATTTTTCATTAAAAACATTTTATTTAAAGAAATTGTTCGATTTGTCCAGATTTTGGTGACGCACTCTGTATATGTAGGTCCGTATTCAGAACGCGCTTTTATCGATAAAAGCGCGCTTATATCTCTGAAATTCTATAGTATGCGTTATGTAAATTATAGCATGTTAGAGCGCTAACAACGGTCTATAATTAAAAATAAAAGTTTAGAAAGGCTATGAACCAAAAAACAACAATGTAAGTGCGTAAGGAAACAGATATAATTATCATGATTTAAAGCAAACAAAACAACACATAAGACATCGTTTCGAGCCCGATCGGGTCATCCTCAATGTTACACATAAACAAATTTAAATATAACAGATAAACTAAATTAATGTACTAAAAATGGATCAACAAAAAAAAAAACAAAAAAATAAATAGCCTTCTATAAAATCGCATCCTGTCATTGCGGATCTGATAGTACATCTGTAACAATATAGCGTATAAATTAGAAGTCAAGATCATAAAAGTCCATATCGGTGTCAAAGTGCACAAAAAATTCAACAAGCATCGTAAATTAAAATTTACGGGCCATAATGAACTGACTTTGAAAAGTCAGTATCTCACTCTCAGAATTTCAATATAATCGATGGACTTTTAGTAAAGAATTTTAAAATTATTATGTTCAATAGAAAGTTTAATTGGTGAGTAAAAAGTTGAAAAAAATGTAAAAAATATATATCCATAACTTGTTATTTCAATCAGAATCGAGATTTGCTTATCCACTAATAATAATATATAACGTATAATACACTTTTTTCTTAATACAAACCTCTTAAGATGTTATTTAACGCTTTTAAAAGTAGAGATTTTATATCGAATTAATACAGTAAGAAATTTTAACTGAAATTAAAGAATTCAATAAGTAAATCGAAAGCATAATCGTGATATTGTATTTTGTTTATTTTTCTAAATTAAAATCATGTTTCTAAATTAAAATGACATGTGACAAAATGTCTGCCCGGAAAATCGTAAGCGTGATAAGATTCATAGTGATGCTTAATATACTGATTGCAATGTAGCGCTAATGTTACGAATAATAACCTTTAAATCGAATTACGGGAATCAGTGATTACGGTTACGGTGATTTGTAAGGTTACGACGTGACCATCAATATCATGGTATATCTCCGATTCACTCGACTTGCCATCGAGGTATCGATGCACGATCATACAGTTGATCGTGACCACGACACGATCGTAACTCGTTATTATCATAGCCAACCTACAAAACTAAGCATCCGTGGTACTTGTCCTCGTAATGTGTGTAGTAGAATCATTGCACTGTGTAGCATCGGACCGTGAAATGCCAGAGTGGCATTGTAAGAAGAGTTTCGCCTTTATCTCGACGGATAAGATTATATCTCATCCCAGACAGATGTGTGCAAGTGTGAAACGCAATTACTCGCGCGATAACCAGAATCTATCGCGCTAATACAATTGCAATTATTACAGCGAGTAATGTATTCGCGCGAGAGAAATCATCGTGACGTTGCGATATAAATTACATATTCGAACAAAGCTTCAAAAGTTAATAATGGAAGATTCCCTTATTAGAGAGTTCTCTTTACTGAACGAATTCATTTCCGACAGAGAATTTTCTGCATACCTTCTGCAAATATAAAGTACAATACATTCGTATGTTCGTAAAGCTTCTTAGGCTTAGAAAGCTTATCGAGAAATTCCACTAATCAGCATATTTTCCATATTTTGCGATCGGATCTCGATTACATATGCATATGTTTCCAGAGAAAGAGAGAGAATATAAATGAATATTCCAACAATCGAATGGAGTAGAAAACGTAGTACGAATGAAATTAAAATTTCTATTTTTGTTACAATACTAACTGAATCACGCATGCGAAGCTGGTGCGCGCGATCGCCTCCGTTCTGGCGGAACGCACCGCGTGAGTGAGGTACCGTTTGAAAATACCACGAAGCAAATTCCGCAGAGTCGTTCTACAGCACGGACGATCGACAGTACGAGTACGCGTGCGATGTGCACGGTTCTCTAATTAAATGCAAACATTCTGCGATTCATCGATTGTACAGAAATGAAGAAACGTACTTTTCAAGCAGAACTTTTCAAGATGGACGGCGCACCTGTCTTGACACTTTTTTTTGTCTCGCGTTTTATTCGAATTCGACGCGCTAAGAATGTCATTTCCGTTTCTTCATTGTAGTAGCCATGTTCAATTGTGATGTCAGAAATTATATATATATAATAGAATTTTGTTGCTCTATACTTCAAAATAAATTAATTCTTTCCGAACATTGTTACGCATAGATTAAAATGTAGGTACCAAACATTTCTTTACAATGGAATTTCTTTATCAATAGAAATATACTTGAAAAAGATGGAAATGTACTAAAAATTAAAAAATATGCTAGTAATGTTATAAAATTACTAATTTTGGCATATAGTAGAAAAAAAATAAATCACGTTTATTTCTTTTTTTTTTTTATTCTCTTTTATACTCTAAGAACTATAACGAAAAAATAAGATTAATATTTTAAAAAATTTGACAATAGTTGTAAAACTTCTTTTTTCTACTGAACGCACTCAAACTTTGTCTAGTTAATAATGCATGTATTTTAATTGTTTGCAACAGATTTTTAATTTCAAATATATATATATATATATATATATATAGTGTTTTTAAAAGAAATAATACGATAATTTATATCTCTTCTTAAATCAAAAGAGTAACCTCCATAATTTAATGTGTGAATAATTTGTGATTTTTCAGCGAGTCGGACATGGCGCCCAATGCGGAGGAGGAATTGCTGGTTGTGAAACCATGGGGACCGCAACCAGAAAAGGTAGTGTCATATATATAGAAACAATGTTAAGTAAATTACTGTGTAACAAATACACTGACGCGATAGTTCACGTGTTGGCTTGCCGGCGTGTAAACGGCGCGGAAGCTTTATGATATAACTTGAGTCGCGTTAACGGCCGTTCCATGCATACGACGACCACGACAGGATGTTTTCGATTAGCATATCTTTCAACTTTGAGTAAATATACACAGAAGACAGGCTCGACCGGCAAAATGACCGATCCTTATTTTGTTCTACACCGTAAGAACTCCATCATCTCAACTTGGTGGTTCGCGCATGTGACAAGAAAGAGAATATTAATATTAAGAGAATAGAAAGACCTTTCAAGTAAAGTAGCAAGTTACTTCTCACCTTGACCTTGTCGCTAACGACATACGTTGCATATATACAGCTTGATTATATATTGCATACGCCTATCTCATAAATATTCTCGCATGTCTTTCCTGCTACTTATAGTATTTTGTTATTTATATTATGAGATAGCATATATCTCGTACTATCATATACGATTACATAATAAACATCAATTTCCGTAGTTCTTTTCTAGTTAATCAAATGTAAATGTCTTGATATTTCAATCGCGATTATTAGCGGATCTTAATCCGCTAATATTAAAATTTCTAGTTTATTATTAAAATTTCTAGTTATTTCTAGTTATTAAAATTTCTAGTTTATAATAATTCGTATTATTAGTAATTCAGGGCTCGGTCTTGTTTCAAATAAAATTTATTTAAAATACATATTTTAAATAAAGAAAAAAATTAAAACGTTATTTAATATTTATTATTTTAAATAACTTTTTGGAATTTATTTTATATTTTTTATTTTAAGTAAGTTGTATCAGTGTTTTATCGATTTTGTATTTTAAATAATTTCCTGTTTTATATTTTTCATTTTAAATAAATTGTATCAGTTATGTTATCGATCCATCAATAAAAGTGAGTAGTTAAATTATAATATAGTTATAATGAAGTATAGCATGTATGAGATACAAGATATACATACATATGATCCGTTTCAATTTTCCACCTGTGGTTCGCGAAGGATTAATACTATTAAATATTAATTATAGGCTATAGTTATTAAAAGACTGAAACGTTATATTTATAAATATTCATATATATTCAAATAAACAAAACTATAAAAAATAGAAAAATAGGCTCGTGTACATGCAATGCAATATAATCAATAAGGCTTAATAAGCCTTGACTTATTAAAAATCATAAAAATATTTTGTGTCTCCTACTTAAAACGTTTGTTTAAAGTACATATTTCTTATTTTAAGTAAGTTTTCGAAATCAATTTCTTATTTAAAACAAGCCTTCGAAAACTTATTTAAAATAAAAGACAAATTATTTTTTTATTTTAAATAAAAGTTATTCTATATTTTAAATAAATAAATATATTTTCGAGTCCTATTTCTTATTTAATATTTTAAATAAGTTCTTGGAACTTATTTTATATTTTTTATTTCAAATAAGTCATATTATATTTTAAATAAGTCATATCGGTTATTTTATCGAGTCCTGATCAATTAATATATGTCAAGATAAAGATAATTATGTTTCATCGGTTTATTGTATATGTGTTAATTTAACCAAAAGGTATCGCCGCCACCGAATACACGTTGAAGTAGTTTCACTTTAACGCACGTGAAAGCTTTTACGAGTGTGTAAGATCGAAATTGCTCAATTCGTCAGATGAAAATGGAAATCGTGGACGAACTCGAAATTAGATCGACTGTGACGAGATATCGTGTGCGCAGTTATATGCGATGTTCCATCGTTGGGAAAGTCTCGACGGCGATTTCACTTAAATTGCGGAAGGGATTCATAAAAAGAATAAAAAAACTGATGACGTACCGAAAGCGTTGTTATTAAAACTTTCAATAAATCATTTGTTTTATAAGAGAGTTATATACGTGTTGAGTTTTTTTCACTCTCTAAGTTAAAAATTTAAAAGGAGGGAAAGCGAGGACAAATCCATTTCCCGACATAAAACGTGAACGCATCTCCCTAAGTTAATTAATAAGCAAATTATATTTATGATCGCAATTGCTATAGAATCTTATCTTTCATCGTCACGATGTCACATAAAGACAAGCCAAAACGAAGATAACATTGGCACGCGTCGTATCTCGCTGTAACGAGATCCAATCATGAATGTTCCTAGATAATAGCAACAAATACTGAGCATGATTGATCGTGCTAATGATCCTCTCACGTCGTGTAATAGATTTAAATTTATATTTTCTAAAAGCCATCAAATTTTCTCTCATGAAAAATATTTTATTATTTATGATTGCATACGTAAGCTGCACTGTTTTACAAAACTGTTTTACAAAACTGTTGAATAGTGTGGATATATATCGTATATATCACTGTAATTTCGTTCATAAATAATATTAATATCATTGCATCCATACAGATCTTCCATTTTTACATAAATCTTACAAATTGACTGAATAAAATCGATATTCTAAAAATTCAGTGCAAAAGATAACAAAGAATATTTATCTTCGAGGCGATGTGTATGTAGGAAAAAAAAATTAATGCATCAATGATTGATCAGGTAGACTGATAATATAAATAATGTTAAGAAATTATATCAAGATATTCTCAGTTAGTTACATGGTGCTCTCCGTTCTCATTTGTAAATAGTGTTTATTTACTCGCGTACCACAACCACGAGTGAATGCAATCACGCTGTGCAATAATACAGTATCTACAGACCAGATGTATGACCGCAAATCAAAGATACAAGAATATCGAAGGTTTTCTGATTTCCTTTTTATTTTTGTTTCTCCTCTTATTTATCTTTCAAACCATCTAGAGCAAAATATGACTGTATTTTTTATCATTTCTCTATACCAATGTCTGCTTTTTATATTTGTGCGAATAAAAACAAAACAATTTTTATTCCGGAATTGTGATATATAGTTTATTTAACTGAAAATTTCTAAACATATTCTCCAATTTGTCTCTAATGTTATGATTTCTCAAAACGTTCATTCGATTAATCTCGCTCTATCGTTTAATAAGTGTAAATTATATTAAAATAGAATAACTGTACGAGCTTACGGGAATTATTCTAAATGTAATTGACTCATTTAAATAATTATACATTCATACTGCTTCCGTGTGCGTCAATAGCGGATTGTTTCATAATTTATACATTCTGCGTTAACCGTAAGCACGAAAGTAAATTAATTTTACGTAATTTGTTCGCTTGAAGTACAATACATACATATTAACAAGAAAGCATCACTGATTAGAATCGCTTCTCTCCTGAAATACTTGAAAGTAGGAAACACTTGTATGTATATTTTTTATTATCACAACTAAAATAGAATAAGTTTATTCACATAAGTTTTGATATCGATGCAAATCAACATATAGCATTATTGTAGATAAGAGATTTATTTGTCATACAGAGAAATTTTAGATTAACGACGCATTTTCTGTTTTATTATAATTTTCTTGCATTTATTTAGAACTTTTTAATCTCAAATATAATAAAATATTTGTTTAAATATAGTTTAATCTATATTTAATCTATATTTATAATCGACAGAAATCAAACTGTACAAACGATTGGTTTTAATTATCGATTCTAGTTTCATCACCGTAGCTATTCTCCTCGTAGCAGCATTCAGCTACCGCTGCAACTTATGGTTAGCGAGAAAAGACGATAATCACTATGATCCTATCAATTTATGGTTGAAAGCGCCCTGAAATTAACCGTAGATATCTTTCTATCTTTCGGCATAAATATTTCATACGTATAAGCGACCAATAATTCGTGTGCTCTTTCAGATTTATTCGAGTGAAGTATTATAAAATACCGTGATGCTAATTCTGCATAGATTAATAAATTAACTCTTTAAGTTAAGACATTTTAAACGACGAATATTTTTAATTTCGTCGTTGTTTTAATGATTTTAAAAGAATTTCAAATTTCGTACATTTATCACAGAAGGAATCGTAATATAACTATCACTCTCAATGTAAATAGAAAATGCCATGCTAATTATATAAATTAATATTCCATGAAATAAAATAATTTAAAGAGCCTTGCTAATTAGATAATCAAACTGTTCGCACAGGAACGCTTAAGGCCACCCACGTATAATGCTGAAGATTACGCAATCGCGCTGAGACGATGGGGAAGACGCCCATTAGGAACTGTTCAAGACTCTCAAGGTACTTTGCCGTCGACAACCAGTTCAAGTTCCGGTTACGCATCCGGAAGTGGCGAGATGACCTTGAGACAATTCACATCGGTCAGCGAGCTGTTAAATAAACTCAGAGCCGATCTCAGACTTGCCTTTCCCAGGTTAGTACCCATCTAATTAATCACTTGTCACTAACAAATAATTATAATAGACTGGATTTTTGCCGCTTCCTAATGTAATTAATCTATGTACTTGTAAATTCATTTGATTTGCGTTCACAGTAAATTAGTTTCTAAACGCGCCAAATACAGGATATCAGAAAGAGAAATCAAGATTCAAAGGATAAGTTTTTAAAGATTTTGAATTCTTTTCTTAACGTCGTATGTACCTATAACGCATCTGTTTATTATTAGACGATTATAAAAAACAATTCTACAGGAAGTGATTACTATTCATTTTGTAACAGGGATTAGTTCAGTCTCATATTCTCAGAATAGCAAATTTCTGTAGATACACGCGAGAAACGCTCGCGGAAGTATAAAATATGAATTATTTGTGAACGATTAAAATAACACTCACTGTTCGTGCTCCCTAAGTGGAACTAATGACGAGAGAGATGTAAGATATTAATCTCGCGAGAGTTGCAAAGTATAAATTGAAAAATTAAGCATTTAAATTTATAAAAAACTTAGTTCCTGTGTGCAAATTCTCACGTTTATGCTTCCAAAAATTTTTTTATTTCGAATTGTATCTTAAAAATCCTGGAAATGCGATGAATAAGAGAAATCATCTATCGAGTATTCGTCGAATATAAAAGATAAACATACGCAGAATCACAGTTTACAGTTATTTTTTATAGTTTTCTTTTCACGGAGAAATAAAAAATGGACCAATATACGAAACGTTCTAGCTCATCAAAATACTTTCCTCTTAATCGCGACACTAATCATTTGATTTACGACTTGAGAATTCTTGTACGTTTTTGAAAAGGCAATGTTTGAAAATGAATATCTAGCACAGAATAAATTAATTAAATAGATAAAAAAAAATATATATATTTCTTGTGTTATACAGTTGACGCAACAAGCGAGATGTCTGAAGAATTAATCACAATTCTAAACTGATATGTCATAAAAATTATTTACACAATTAGAAAAGTGATGCCGAGGGCATAATGCGCAACCGTGTGCAACGTTCGCGCCTGTTAAGTCCGAAGATGATTAAGAATCGCGCGTTATCGTTAGAATTTTTCTTCCTGCTTGTCAATGCCTCACACCGCTAGTCGGAAGATCGATGATGTTTGTCTCGCGTCGAGACGCTTCAGGCATCACGCTTATTCGTATTGATTTGTAGTACCTATTGCAGCAGTAAGAGCTACCTAATTGGTCGTAATAATGAAATCGCAATAACAATCTTAATCCTGGCAAATCAAATTTAATTATAACAATTTTAATATATAATAGCCTAAACCGCTATATTCATTTTTTTCCCTCTTATTTTTTAATATTATAACTTATAAGATATACTAGATGATCAACTCGTTTAGCCACGGCATGCAATTTCGCGGTTATTTTGAAAAATTACGATGTCCTGGCGCAAATGATCTGCTATTTGTTCCGCGAGAAAGAGAGAGAGAGAGAGAGAGAGAGAGAGAGAGAGAGAGAGAGAGAGAGAGAGAGAGAGAGAGGAAGGAGGGGGGGAGGAAGGAAGGGAGAGAGAAGACGAATAGAAGAGCGCGAATCCGTTAACTTGGCGATGATTAAAGACAGTGCTCAGTATTAAATTCTTCCACAGTCTGTCGTTGGTACAGCATGTTTTAAAGAACGAATGTTGATGGCTCTATCCTCCATGTGCGTCATATGGCGGACGAGAATGTCCCAGATAAATGAGTTATAATACATTGCGCTTCTCGATGTCGGCGAATAACCCGTAAGTAGCGGCTTCAAATAACCGAATGCCGATATTACGGCTAACTGTATAGTGGCACACCGCTGCAAATCGATCTGGCCGAGCTGCACATCTTCCGTCTTTCCTGGCGAAACAGCTAAAGCGACAGGTGTATCATTTACAATGAAACCCTATTAGAGTTCCTAATTGTATTTTCATGGATTTTCATTGTACGTATGGCTCATACAAAATGGATAAGTAGACTTCTATATATTCTCATCCATAACGGTACTAGTTACCAGATACAATATATTCTCCATCAATAAAATTTTTACTCTATATTGATAGACATATATCTACATATTGTAGATAGATAGATAAATGGAATACATATATTAATTTTATATACATATATATATAATTAATAATATACATATGTATATTAATATGATAATTGAATAAATGAATATGCGTTGTGTAAAGCAAATCTATTAAATCTGTCAAATTTAATTTATATTATACTTCACTTTATATTACTTTCATTAATTATATCGGTCGTCTAAAGTGAAAATGACTTTCTAGTCAATTGATGGTCGACGTGGATATCGACGTCTTAAAAGAAGAAGTTAAAAAAAATTTTACAATTTGACAATTTCAAAATGAGCGTTAAATGAGAGGATGAAATTATTCCACTTTCTCCCAATAAAATTTATTTTGTCAAAAGAAATATACTATTTCATTTAGAATTTATTTCATTTCTCCATTGAATATGTATGAGCGAAATTATTATTTCAAATCCTATAATCTTAGACACTTATACATATGTGTGTGTGTGTGTGTGTGTGTGTGTGTGTGTGTGTGTGT